CCGTGAACAATAATAATTTGTGGGTTGTAGATAGTGGAGCATCACACTGCATAACGAAAGATAAGAAAAGATTTTTTAAGATGTCAACGAGTTCACAGCAGATATCGTTAGCTAATGGCTGGAAAATGAAAGCAAAAGGTGAAGGTATTGCACATTGTTCTTGCATAAAAGAAAATGTAAAAATGTTATATGTACCACAACTTAAGTTTAATTTGCTTTCGGTTAGAGTTTTGATTAAACTAGGTTATATAGTTACCTTTAGGGGAGAAAACTGCATAATAGAAAAGGAAGGTAAAAAAAGTGACTGCAACTTTAAAAGGTGAATTGTATGTGTTAAATGATAATCAATTAGAGGTGGCTAACACAGTGTATAATAACGTTAAAACTCATGATGAATGCATACATTTGTTACACAGACGTTTAGGGCATATAAATTTTAAAATGCTCAAGCAAATGGTCGAACTGTCTAAAGGTATATAACTGAAGCCTTGCAGTAAGTATTTGCACTGCAATGCTTGCAGTCAAGAAAAAAGCAAGTAATACCAGCAAATAGAATTAATGGATTTAAAACTAAAGAGCCTCTAGAGGTCGTATTTGCCGATATTATAGGTCCTAAAAAACCAAGTGTGGGAGGTGCTCGTTATATATTAAGTATAATGGATCATTATTCTACATATGGTTTCTGTTATTTAATGAAGAGTAAAATGGAAACGTATCAGAATTTCTTTAATTGGTTGAAGTTTGCAGAAAGAAAAACTAAAAGGAAACTAGTAACCCTTGTAACTGATAATGGTACGGAATTTATAAATAATAAATTCCAAAAGAGACTGAAGATGGCAGGTGTAGAACATAAAAAGTCTGCACCATATAGGCCACAACATAATTCCTTTATAGAAAGAGGAGGCCAAACAATATAGGCAATGGCTCGTACTATGTTGTCAGATTCAGGATTACCTGAAAATTTGTGGGGAGAAGCAATAATGTGTGGTAATCATATACTAAATAATGTTGTTAACTCAACAACAGGTGAATTACCATTCACACTGTGGCATGGTAGAAAACCTGACCTAAGCTACATGCACACATTTGGAGCACCAGCATGGGTGCATATTCCTACACAACTGAGACATAAGGGGCAGCATAGGGCTAAAAGGTTATTTTTTGTAGGTTATGAATCTAATCACAAATCATACAGATTCTGGGAAAAAGGTACATCTAGAGTTTACTGTAGTGCTAGTGCACAATTCCTTGAACATGTAGGATGGGAAAAACTGGAGGAAGACTCAAGTAAGGATGTAATCATAGAAACCTACAAAAGACCAAAAGACCATATCAGTAATAAGAAAATTACAATTAAAGAGGAAGTACAGGAAGAGCACATAGGACCAGAACAGGAAGAAATAGGTGAACAGGAAGAAATAGATAACCAGGAACAGGTAGTACATGAAAGTCCACCTGTAAGCCCTGTAATACCTAGACGTTCAACACGTGAACCCAGACCACCTGACAGGTACCAAGCAAGTGTAGTTTGCCAAGTTAATAAAGTTCCAACTACTGTTGAAGAACTTAGAATGTATCCTGCAAAGGATCAAGAAAATTGGCATAGAGCGATGGAGAAGGAACTAAATTCATTGGAACAGATGGAAGCTTATGAAAATGTTAAATTACCTCCAGGTGAAAAGTCCATTGGCTGTAAATGGATATTTAAATTAAAAACTGGTAAAAATGGGACTGTTACCCATAAGGCTAGGTTGGTAGCTCAAGGATTTAATCAAACTGCATGTGATTATGATGAAGTATTTGCACCGAATCTAAAAGCAACAACCTTGAGAGCAGCTTTAGTGTGGGCAGCTAAGAAAAACTATATCATAAATCATTTAGATGTAGAAGCTGCTTATCTGCATGCACCATTGCAACACACTATATACCTAAAGAAACCTGTAGGGATTAAGGATGATAAAACAAATAATGACTGTTGGAAGCTTAAAAAGAGTCTCTATGGATTAAAACAATCCGGTTACGAATGGAACCAATATATTGTTAAGGAGTTAAACAATATAGGGTTTAAAGCAGGTTTAGCTGATCCATGTTTATTTAAGAAAAAGACAAATGGAATAGTGTCATTATTATTGTTGTTTACAGATGATATTGCCTTAATTACAAAAACTAATAATGAAGCTACTGAAATAATATTATTATTATTTAGGAGAGATAAAACAGTATCTAGGATTGACAATAAATAAAACCAACGGTGGCTATAAGATATCTCAAGAGGATAAGATTTATCAATTACTAAAAACATACAAGATGGAACTTTGTAAGCTGGCAAAAACTCCAATGAGTCAGGAATTTTGCCGCACTGATGCTCAAAGTCCAAAATTCGATAAGACTATATATCAGTCACTAATTGGTAGTCTATCGTACATTAGTAACTGGTCAAGGCCAGATATTGCCTATAGCATTAATCAATTGGCACGATTCAACGCTGAACCTACTGAACGACACTGGCAAGCCACAAAGCGTATCTTAAGATATCTTAAAAAGACAATGCACTATGCATTGTATTTGGAGCCAAAAGATGATTTGTTTTTAAGTTCATATGCTGATGCAAGTTTTGCAACAGACATAAACACTAGGAAATCAACTTCAGGAATGGCTATACTGTTAGGAAAAGCACTGATTGGTTGGAGGTCAATTAGACAGCAACACATAAGTATGTCCACAATGGAAGCAGAATTTTCATGTCTATCTTTATTATGTAGTGATTTAATTCTGTATAAACAGTTATTGTTGGATATGGGACTAACTGTTAAAGATTCCATTGTTGTGTATGAGGACAATCAAGCAGCCATGCGGATGGCTACAAATATTGCTGTGAAAACGAGATCTAAGCATACAGATCTTAGATATCTGAATGTAAGGCAATCTGTAAAAAATGGTTTAATAAGACTGGAATATTGTATGACTGAACAAAATATTGCTGATCAATTTACAAAAGCCCAAGGTTCAGTCAAACACAAAGAGAGTTGTGATGACTATGGGTTAAGGTTGTAAATAGATATATATATTATTATATTACCCAAAAGGGGAGTGTGTTAGGAATAATTAGGTTACCTAATGTAGTTTGGGTAAAATAATATATATAAACTATGATAGTAAGTTTAAGTGTGTGTCACTTTAAACTGCAAAGCATGTCATTTTGGGTGCGGTGTGAAACCGCCATAAGAGGAAGCAAGAGAACCTGCTGGATTGCTGACGATTGATGGTTTGATGGATTGATGGTTTGCTAACTGCGTGTTCCCTGCTGCTGAAGGAAGAAAGGAGGTTTGACTTCTTCATATCTCTACTGCGAGGAGATATATTACTGGACTGATATTTGTAAGTTTACTGATCTTTTTTTCGACACTGGACTTTGCAACCGAATAATCCCCGGACAGACTGAATTAGTGAATGATATATGGACTGTTTTGACTATGCTAAAACTATTACTGGAATAAACTATTTAACTAGCACAGTGTATCTGTTTTACTGAGTGTAAGCTACAAAAATGTTTATCTCACATATTTTGCCTGACTGCCTGACTGCCGTGCAGATTCTGCTAGGGTGTATCCCTAACACCGCTACCCGACCTGGATGCTGACCCAGCACCCACAACGTCCACCCTGAGCATAGAGACGTTACCCAACCTCTCCCTAACTGTGTCAGACATTGCCCGCGAAACCAATAAAGACAAATGTCTGGCGCAGGTTTAAATTGGGTGGAGAAAGGGTGGCCGGAAAAAGATGACGATGAACAATTCAGGACTTTCCGAAACCAACAAACAGAACTTTTTACTCAAAAAGGTTGTTTGCTATGGGGGGACAGGGTTGCTACATTAGCATTCTTGTAATCCCTCATCCTGATTGGCCAGGACGCACGGTGCTCGGATTGGCTGAGTGAGCCGCAGCGATTGGCCCGTTGCGAATCACCCACGATTGGAGGAAAACGATCGCAGGGGATTCAACGCGGTGTCATTGGCTGCGGCTGGCTAGGCAAGTTCAATATAAGCCGCCACCGATCCGAGGGAGAGCCGAGCTGATCTCAGAACCAAATAAAGAGCTTTAAAAGAGTCACTGAGTCTCGCGTCTCCTTCTTGCGATCGGCGAACATGACATTTCCCACATACCATTACAACTGTGGTATAAATTAACTCTGGCTTCTCTTGACACATTTGCAGGGGTGTCTGCAAGGGCATAAATGTCAACCGTCTTGGTATATGCAGCAAAAGAAACTCCTGGGACATTATTTTACCAAGAGTATAATTTTATATGGGCACAGAAGAAGAAAAACAAGGTCTGGAGTTTCCAGGCAAAAAGTAGCATAGATAAAATCCCCTTTCCTCTTTTGGGCCACCCACTGTTCGTTGTTCACTAATCAATTATACCAATTTGTTTGGGAAACGATCTGGAATTTGGGGCTTCTTCATCTTTTGATCTTGGGAACTAGGATGATCCAGGTGTAAGTCAGTTGAGCATTCCACAATTCCCTCTCAAGTTTCCCCTGCATACTAAACCTACTCACCCCCTCCTTGTTTCAATTGTCTGGTTGCAAGTAAGGTGGGTGGGTAGAGAGACAAGCATGACAGTAGAAACATAAAGATGGCATCCACATGTAAAAAGGTGTGTGGCTTTGATCACATAGTTACACACAATCTTGATTTTTTTTTGACACTCCCATTAATACCCTTGCCCATTTGTTTTATTATGAAGAAATCAATGTGAAGAAATGTATTGTTTATAATACATTTGATAACTATAACTATTATAATACATATATATTGATAACTAAGAATAAAATTGTGGTACTACTACACTAGTCCCATTGTTATACTATTTTTATTGATTTTATTTTTACCTACGCTATTAATTTTCCACAATCTTAAATTTGTAATCGAAGTAAAGTTTTCAATGCAAGTCTCTGCGACACAGGGATCAGAATTAAATGATGCATAATATATTTACCTTGTGCCCCTTTTCTCGTCTTTTTCCATGGGGTCCTTCTTCCCCCTCACACCTACAAAATATGCAGCAGCATTTTTGCTCAGCAATTTGGTCCTTGAAGAGAATAAATTATGATTTTATCCTTAGAAAATTTGGTTAGTTATAATTACTTACGAGTATTATTATTGTCGCTTTTATATTAATCCTTAGAGAAGTCTGCAATATCCAAGACTTTCATCAAAATGACAAAAACAGCATTCACATAGACATGTATGCAATTTCATGATACACATAAAAAAATTGCAGTATTTGCAGTTTTGCAAAGGAAAAATTGCCTTTGTCATTTGCCCTCCCTTACTCTCTTCTGTGGATGCCTCTTGTAATTGTATCATGCTAATGGGGACACAGTGACTAAGTGGCTAAGATGCTGACCTTGTCGATCAGAAAGGTTGGCAGTTCGGCAGTTAAAATCCCTAGCACCGTGTAACAAAGTGAGCTCCTGTTACCTGTCCCAGCTTCTGCCAACCTAGCAGTTCGAAAGCATGTAATGCAAATAGAAAAATAGGAACCACTTTGGTGGGAAGATAACTGCACTTCATGCACCTTCGGCATTTAGCCATGCTGGCCACATGACCACAGAGACATCTTCAGACAGTGCTGGCTCTTTGGCTTTGTAACGGAGATGAGCACTGACCCCAGAGCTGGAAACAACTAGCATGTATGTGCGAGGGGAACCTTTACTCAGGCATAAAAAGGATCCCTAAAGTCTCAAAATCTAATCTATTGTTTTTATCTTATCAACTTACCATATACTGAAAGAGCCTCATAGCAACATTTTCTGTGTCAATCGATAATTGAGTGTTATATCCAAATCCCTTTCCAAACTCAATATGCTGAAGTTGATCAATATATTTGGTTCCTTCCAGGGCAACTGTTATTAGTCCATCTAGTCCTATTTGAAACAGTGATTATTATCAATAACTTTTTAATATCTGCTTCTTCAGTTATTATAAATTAGTTCTTTTTTCACATTCCTCTGAATAGTTGGGCACATATGCCAAATATAAAGAGAGCAGAATAATTCAGATAGCTAAACTTTCTCATTCATCTGGAATAAGAATTGCCAGTCTTTTCCCCCCTATGGTTGATATAGCAATGGAACTAATTTTTAGACATGCCAAATTGTGACTTTAAAAGGGATAAATGTATAGAAAATTGCCTAGAAGCACATATAACTGAGAATGCATGCATCCAAAATTCATATCATAGTGGATATTTGTTTAAAAAGAATCAAGCTTGGAGGCAGAGGCAGGGGGCAGAAGACAGGCATTCTGGACAACTGCCTGATTCATGGGAAGCTCGCAGGAAGTTTGCGTGGTGGCACCAGCAGCAGGCAGAGGCTTGGGGAATGGGGGAGGCAGGTGATCCTGACATCTCCCACAAATGCCTGGTAGGCATGGCTGCAGGCAAGCCAAAAGATGGAGGGACAGAGTGGCAGCATGTTGGGTTCACTTCTGCCTATGCCTGGCTCTTTTGTGCACTCTGTGCACTTTTCACCCAGAGGGGGATGAAGCTATGTCTGATTGCAAAGGGGACACTTTGAAACAGAGCTAATTTCTTCATTTCAAACCATCTCTTTGCAAGTATATGAAGCTTTAATTATCCATCATTTCTCTCTCCAGGCGAAAATGGTCACCTATGGGGTGCTTGGGAATGGAGCAAATCACTATGTTCCCCAGCACCCCATAGGTGAACCAAACACTTTTTGCCCAGATGGAGAAATGGTGGAGATTCAAAGCTTCATGGGCTTGCAAAGGGATGATTTGAAACTGTGATTAGCTCCGTTTCAAAGCGTCCCCTTTGCAAGTAGATAAAGCTTCATCTCCCTCTGGGCAAAAAGTATTTGGGCAGCTACCACCGACTTTTCCCTCTCCATCCCACTGTCCACTTGCCCACAGCCTCAATCAGGGCCAAGTTCTAGGCAGGCCCTGGGCCAAGTTCTAGGCATGCCCTGGCCTCCACTTGCCCTGCCAGGAGGCGAATGCAGTAGTACGTGCATCTGCTTGGCAACTATCACAGTGCTTGCTGTGGGCAAGAAGTGTCCCAGAAGCTGCTGGGCAGGGAGGATAGAGGCCGAGGCATGCCAAAAGTTTGGCCCATTGCAGCCACAGGCAAGCATACAATGGGACAGACAGGCCAGGGCCAGCAGTAGCATTAGCCCCTGTGCTTGCCACCTCCTATATTTAAAAAAAAGATGTCCCCCAAAATAAGCCTGAGTGCAAATTTTCAAGCCCAAAAGATAATAAGGCCAGTGTTAAGTTTGAGCAATGAGAGGCTGACCAGAGCATGAGTGCAACAGTACTTTATTTAACAAATAAAGGGCTGACCGTGCTTGCCACGCTTGGAACTGGCTCGCAGCAATCAGCAACCAGTTGGACCCCGCAGCCTGCTTTTATAGCTGGCTGCTGGGGAGAACCAACCAATGGGAATGGGGGAAAATCGCCCACACAAAGTGAGTGGACCTGAGTGAGAACTCCTTGAGTCCTCAGGACATAACACCCCTTCCCCCCAGATGCGAACATGCATAGTCCTTGAGGTAGACGGGGGGTTTGTGTTGGCGCCCGGAGCGGCGCAACTCGGGAACATTGTCTGTCTGTTCGGTATCAGTCTGTGACGGTTGAGCTGGCATAGTGTCGCCAACACTCTCTCTGGACTGGGCATCCTCGGGAACCACCGGGCTGGTTTCTGGGGTCGAGCTCTCGTGGGTTGGATCAGGTTGGTCAACTCTCTGGGCGCTGTTGTCCGAATTTGGGCTGACCGGAACGACCGCTGGCGCAGACTGGTCGCTGGGTGCGGTGTGGCTGGGCTGCGGATGAGACGGTTCCCCTTCGATTGGAGGCTCTGGATTCTTGTTTGCGAGGTTGCTGAGGCGCCTTCTGAGTTGGTCTATGTGCCTCCTCCAGACGCGACCATCCTTCAGCCTGACTCTATACGATCTTGGCCCGGTGACGGCGATGACCTCGCCCGGAATCCAAAGCGGGTCCCCAGCGAAATTCCTTGCGAATACCGGCTCCTGCAACATAAAATGTCTAACCCCCGAAGTGGAAGCGAGGGGAGAGTCAGGGCAGTATTGTGGGTGCAGTCTATCTAATACAGTCCTCAGGTGCCGGCCCATCAGAAGTTCCGCTGGGGACTTATTGGTGACTGCACAGGGGGTTGAGTGCTGGCTCATCAGGAACCGTGAGAGTTTGTGGTGCCAGTCATCTCTGCCAAACCTAGCGAGGGCCTCTTTGGTGGTCCTGACGGCCCTTTCAGCCAACCCATTACTCGCAGGGTGAAATGGGGCTGTGAAAATGTGGCGAATGCCAAGGTTGGCTGCAAAGCGGCTGAATTCTACTGATGCGAACTGTGGGCCATTATCAGAGACCAAGGAGTCGGGTAGTCCATGTGTAACGAACAGGCGCGTTAACACGTTGGTGATTGCTAGTGTGGTGGTCGTGGATAGCTGTGCCACGTCTATCCACTTGGAATAAGCGTCCACGACCACTAGGAACATCTTTCCATGCACGGGGCCGGCCAGATCGATATGGATTCTAGACCAAGGGGCGCTGGCGCTCTCCCATCTGGTAGGGGTGGCGATGGGGGGAGCAGGACGGGATTCCTGGCAAATGCTGCAGGAACTTACCCAATTGACAATGTCCTCGTCTAGACCCGGCCACCACACGTAGCTGCGTGCCAACGCCTTCATTCTCACAATGCCGGGGTGTCCCTCGTGCAACGCCTCCAGGACTCGGGTACGCAGCGAGGTCGGAATGACCACTCGAGTGCCCCACAGAAGACAACCCTGCAAACTGGACAGCTCCTGCATGCGAGTCTTAAAGGGTGCGAATTTGTTATTAACGTTGCCTCCCGGCCACCCCCTCCTCACCCAGTCGAGCACCTGGGCGAGCGTTTGGTCTGCCTTGGTTTTGGCGGCGATGTCAAGGGCGGTGATGGGCAGGTCCAACTGTGTGATTTCAAAAATGGCATTGACAGGAGCTGGGTCTTCAGCCGGAGCGGGTAAGGGGCAGCGACTGAGCGCGTCAGCGTGGGATAGAGTTTTGCCCGGGCGGTGGATAAGTTTGTATGAGTAGGCCGCTAGGAAAAGTGTCCACCGTGTCATCCGAGGGGAGAGGACTTGAGGTGTCTGTTTGTCGCCGGCCAGTAGGCCCAGAAGGGGCTTATGGTCGGTGACCAGTTCGAAAAAGTGGCCAAAAAGGAATTCGTGAAACTTTTTCACGGCTGCAACAGCTGCTAGGGCTTCCTTGTCGATTTGGCTGTAATTTCGCTCCGTGGCCGAGAGCGTCCTGGAGAAAAAGGCGATGGGGGCCTCGGCGCCATTGGCAAGTCGGTGACTAAGGACCGCCCCAATTCCAAAAGGGGATGCGTCTGCTGCCAGTACTAAAGGAAGGTGGGGGTCGAATTGGATGAGCACTGCCTCTGACGTAAGTAGTGATTTGACGGCGTTAAACGCCTGGTCTTCTTTGTGCCCCCAGTGCCACGGTGACTTTTTGTCTAGTAATCTGTGTAGGGGTTCGGCTACTGAGGCTTTATGGGGCAAGAAGGATGCATAAAAGTTTAGGAGCCCCAAGAAAGCTTGTAGCTCCGTTTTGGAGGTCGGTGTGGGAGCTTCGTGGATCGCCCTAACCTTGGACTCCAGGGGGTGAATGCCAGAGGCGTCAATTTTATAACCCAGAAAGTCCACCTGTCTAGTGGCAATGGCGCATTTTTCTTTTTTTAACTTGAGGCCATGCTGTCTGAACCTCTCTAACACTGCTCGCACTCTCTGGAAGAGTTGGGGTCTGTCCCTGGCCGAGACCAAGATGTCGTCGAAGTAGGGTACTACACCAGGGAGGCCCTGTAAAATCCGCTCCATGAGGGATTGAAAAATACCCGGGGCAACACTTACGCCAAATTGGAGACGCTTGCATCGGAAGGCACCCCTGTGAGTGACGATGGTCTGAAGTTCCGCTGTTTGGTTATCAACAGGGAACTGTTGATATGCTTGAGACATGTCCAATTTAGCAAAAATACTGCCCGGTTCGAATGTGTGCAATAAGTGCTGAATGACGGGCACAGGGTAGGCGCTAACTTGTAAATATTTATTGATTGTTGTCTTGTAGTCCGAGCAAATTCTCAGGCTACCATCTTTTTTGAGGGGTGTGACAATGGGCGTCTCCCACTTGGCGAAATCTGTTGGCTCAATGACCCCTTGTTTTAGTAGTTTATCCAATTCAGCGTCTAGTTTTGGTCGAATAGCAAATGGAACTCTACGTGGTTTTAATCTGATTGGGACTGCCTGGGGGTCAACGGTGAACGAGATGGGGGTTCCATTATAACACCCCAGCTCTTCGCTGAACACATCTGCATAGTCAGCGAATAAGGAGTCAGTGTCTGAGGTTGAGACAGCATGGACTCCTGTTAACCCTAGGCCGAGGTGGGGAAACCAATCGAGCCCCAATAAGGTGGGTAGATTGCCGTTAACTACCACTAGAGGTAGGTGGCCTTTAAAAGCTCTAAAACTGACAAAGAACTTGCCTCTGCCGATCACGGGAATGGCCTTCCCCTGGTAGTCCTTCAGACCGAACTGGCATCTCTGAAGCCGGTTAGTTGATAGGCTGGGGTGGAGTTTCTTGAGGGTGTTCCACGAGATTATTGAGAGCGCTGACCCTGTGTCAACCTCCATGTGGCACGGTTTACCTTCTAGGGAAACGGAGAGAGAAATTTTACTAACAGTGTGGCCAGTACGCCTGGCAAGGTGGTGCGTGCGACAGTTTAATACTTGCCTCTGTGGTCCCGAGTGCGAGGACGGGGGTCTGTGTGCAGCGCTTTGGGGGGCTTGGCAGACTCTCGCAATGTGCCCCCTCTTATGGCAGTTGTTGCAAACGGCTCCTTTAAACTTGCAGGTGGCCCTTTGATGTGATCCCCCACAGGCTAGGCACAGCGTGATGTGCTTGGGTGGACTGGTGTATTCTTGTTTGGCCCCTACCTGCGACCGTCTGTCATTGGTGAGGCGATGGACATCGTTCTCATCGTTGTGGGCTTCCTCCGCTTCCACCTCTTCGGAATGGACTGGGAACGATGCTGGCTTGGCACTTGGGCCCTGAATTTCGGTGGCTGAGTTCGTTGCTAGCTCGGCTGCTAGGGCCTCCTCTACCGCTTGCGCAAGGTTGAGGTCTTTTTTAGCTAGCAGTCGCCTCTGTAGGTTGAGATCCTTGACCCCACAAACTAATTGATCGAGGAGCATGTCCTCCAGGTATGTTCCAAACCCGCAGTGCAGGGCTGCTGTTCTGAGGGCGGCCATATATTGATTGATGGTCTCCTTACTTGATTGCTTCCTCATACGGAACGTGAACCTTCTGGCGATTTGTGAAGGTCTGGGAGCGTAGTGGTTAGTGAGGATCTCAAGCAACTCGGACCACGGAATGTTTTTTAATTCTCTCGGCGCTACGAGTGCTGCGGCGGTATCGTAAACGGTGGCTCCGCAGTAGATTAGGAAATAGGATTTTTTCCGAAGCTCTCCCGCATCCGCCAGGCCGACCGCATCGATGTAATGATTGAAACGGTTCTTATACGATTCCCACTTCTCTTCGTCTGGTTTAAACGCGGGGAATACTGGGTTGGAACTCATGGTGCTGGAACGGCTGGGCTACCTGCGGAAAAAATCTCTCTGGGACTACGAGCGCTCGTGAGTACTAGTGAAATCAGCTCTGGAGAGGTTTTTTGCTAACCTCTCTTTCTCTCTCTGGGTTACCACGTTGGCTGCTAGCCGTTGGAGGTGTCTAGATTTGCGCCAAAAAAGTGGGCGTTAGTGACTCTCTACAGCGCTGTGCTGTGATTCCTACTGGCTCGAAATTCAAATGACACCCGTTTGAATTTCGCGCCAAATGCAGAGCGGCTGCGGCTCGCAGCGCTTCACTTTCCCCGTAGCGGGGCTAACAAGCGGCTACAGACGCTTCTAACTTTTGACTCAGACCGCTTTCTCTGGCTGCGGATCTGCGTTTGCTCTTTTTGATCGCTCGTTTTGTTAGCTGACCGCTCTCTCTGGCTGCGGATCAGCGTTTCCCTTATCGCCAGCCGATCGCTCTCTCTGGGCTGTAGATCGGAGGCTAGTGACTCAGCGGTTGCAAGGTGCATCTGGTAGCCATCCCATCCTCGTCGCCAGTGTTAAGTTTGAGCAATGAGAGGCTGACCAGAGCATGAGTGCAACAGTACTTTATTTAACAAATAAAGGGCTGACCGTGCTTGCCACGCTTGGAACTGGCTCGCAGCAATCAGCAACCAGTTGGACCCCGCAGCCTGCTTTTATAGCTGGCTGCTGGGGAGAACCAACCAATGGGAATGGGGGAAAATCGCCCACACAAAGTGAGTGGACCTGAGTGAGAACTCCTTGAGTCCTCAGGACATAACAGCCAGACTTTATTTTTGAGGAAACATGGTATATGATATGATATAACATGGACCCAGCCTAGATAACTGCAGTTGTTGAATCCTTCTAATATGGTAGAAATTGTGTTGAAATTGTAACATCTTTTTGCTATATAGATTGGACAAGAACAAGATCTTTTGCAATTCTTTGGAAGAGATTGCGAAGACCAGACTCCTCTCTAGAACACTAAAAATCTCCACAGACCATTCTCATCCTGGACATTCATATTTCGATCTGTTACCATCAGGGAGGCATTATAGGACTAATAGATTGAGAAACAGTTTCTTTTCCAAGGCAGTAATTATCTTGAATCAAACAGTGCATTTGTGATTTAATCCTATTATTATTATTATTATTATTTTAGTTTTTAAAACTCTGTAGTTTGATTGTGATGTGGTATTTGGGGCACTGTGCTGGAGTAGCTTTCAAGTTTCATTGTATTCGTGGAATGCAGTGTCAATAAAGGTATTCTATTCTATTCTATATTCTATTCATCAGATGAAAATCATTTATTAGAATTTGTTACCATTTATTAATTACTAAAAAATCACTTCATCTCTTGCCTTTAAATGTTAAACAATTTCTTCTTTCAACTTTTTAATTTTTAGATAAGGTTATTTTTAGATTAAGCAAGGAAGGGCAGATGAGGACTTGCAAACCTGAATCCCAACAAAGAAGACTTGTGAAATAATAATGTAAATCATCTGTTTGAGCTAAAGTATTACATTTGATTTGCTGATTACCTTGTATTCTAAGTTCTTCAGATTTTTGTCCAAGTGCTATTTTATTATCATCCAAGCCATCTGAGAAAAGAAGTAATACCTAAAAAAATATAAAGACAATGAGATTAAAATAAGAACATATATCAAGAAAACCAAAACAAGAACCATATAGTATAACACAGATTCATTCATCAAATAGTTTGATGAGCTTTAAAGAGAAATGTATACATTTGGAGAAACGTAGATGAACTTAGACAAAGCATCATTGACAAAGATTACAAGAAGACACATTTCTTCTGTTGAAAATTATTAATTTCTAGATGTCCCAGAATAATGTTGCAAATCAATTCTGGGTTGTTCACCGGGACTAGAGATTAGGTTAGTCTAGATTTGTAGTCCCAGTAACTAACCCAGATTCAATCTTGTAATATATATTCTTTTAACTCTTCATTATAGTATTATACTATATAATACCTTCATTATAACTCTTCATGATAGTAAAGTTTGCAGAAAACAACAAAAAATATTTAATTTAATATTTTTTGTATAACATTTCATTTATCCTGTAAAACTTAGATAAACTGAAATTATTAAAGGCTATTCTATAAATATTTCAATTTTCTCAAAATGTTTTAATGCAAATAATTAGCTCAAGGATCATTCCAAACACAACATTTAATATACAATATATCAAAATGATTATAATTCCTCTAATTTGATTCATGCAATGCAATTTTAAGGAAGTGCAATATTATTAATTAAGGAAACTTATATTATACCAATTTAAATAATAAGCTGGTATCTGATATAATGCAGTATTTTAATAAAAACTATTAAGATGGAAATAAATTACCGTGTTTCGATTTTCTATGTCAGTCACATTTTTAACTAAATTCCAAATAGCATCCAAGAAGTCAGTGTTGAGATGAGATGGTCTGTTGACCACAACGTTTCTGAGTTCTGTTACTATATTTGTGTCATCAACATAATGAAATTTTGCCCAGAAAGGTTTATCTGTGTTTTCTACTGAAATAGTCACACTGAATTGTGCTTTTTTATCCTTAGAGCAACTTGTGCTGCTTAAAGATGTTAGGCCTTTTATAATATCAGGAAGATAAATCTCCAAATGATGTTGCTCACTGAATAAATTGTTTCCTGGCTTCTGAGATGACATATCAAATCCAATAATAATATCTACAAAACATGCTGTTTAGATGGATATAAAGGCAAAATATAAGAAAATAACAAAAAACAAATTTGCAGTTAAATTCAAGCAAATTGTGACAATATTTAACACTGTATTAGAATTGATTGCTTCTCATTTCTTGACGGGTTATCTAGATAAGCAACTGTGGACAGATTGTACATAGCCAGCTACATGTAAATTTAAACATACTATGACTTAAATGTTTTTGGCCATCGTTATATTGAAACAGTATAAAAAGGTAAACCAAATGAGATGCTTTGAACTGAGCTACAGTATACATGTAACATAAACATTTGATACCATCTGACCCTCCGCCCTCCTTTCCTTAGACTATAGATATAAAATTAAGATTATTGGTATAAATTGCAAGTCACCTCTATGGTCACATAATTTCCTAAACTATTGTTTGTTTTAATGATTTATTAATAAGCCACATTTGCCCATGTCCACACAACGTAGAAAGATACACATTATAGTTTAATGCTGGGGCTAACTAATCTAAAGCCAAATAAACTCCATTAGCATGTCATGTGAATCTAGCTATAGAAAATGTCTACATTATTTATCTTTAGTCTACTTTTCACAGAACAAATATATAATTTTCTATGTTCATTAAAGTTTTTTTTTCCTTTTTGGGAAGGGAGCATTCATACAAAATTTATTCCTATCTATTAGTTTTAAAGCATTCTCAAATCACATGCCAGAACCAAACAATGGAGTATAATTAGCTTGACTGTAATAGGTAAAATGATTAGAATATAAATATATTCACTAAAACACTGGAAAAAATGCACAGATGATCTTATCTATTTAGTTACATTAGGCATTAGAAATGTTTATGGATGCTTAATGAAATTTTTTACTTCTCCTTAATAAGATCTTTTTGCCTTATTCACTTTTTCACTCTGCAGCCTATAATGTTTTGAAAAGAAAATAAGAAAAGGACAAGGTCCTTTTTTTCGGGCAGAGGTTTAATCAGATGGACTTCTGGATTTTGTCCAACAAACCAAATAACAAAAGAGATGCTATTTGACAAGAAACAAATACTAGTAACTAAAATCTATTATTATGTAAGCAACCAAGCATTTATTTTAACTGAAAGGAACTTACTTGCTTCAGTAGTCTCTTTACAAATTTCCTTATTTACATGATTTACAAGAGTTTTTAGATCACTGTAATGGTCAACCTTATATTTTCTGCTTGGGGAGTTGGTAATCTGCAGAAGTTTTGAATCAGTCGCATTTCCTACTGCAACTGCATGGATTTCCACACCTTCATCTCTCAATTTTTTTGCTGCTTGAGGAAACTCATCATCTGATCTTCCATCAGTGAATATGAGCAACTTTTGGTTAACACTTCGAGCTACTCTTTCTTTGCTGGTTTTGAAAAAGGTTTTGACTTCTCTGAGGGCATGTCCAATCAATGTGGACCCTCCTGTGATCAGTGACATATTAGTAATTTTACTATAAAGTTCTGGTAGATTTTGATAAGCACCCAGCTGGAATACTTCTTGAAGTGTATTACTGAATTGGGCCATTCCAACTAGAATATTGTCTTTATTTATAATTGACTTAAGCAAGTTTATCACAAAATCCTTCACAGACTTCAGTTCTTTGTCAGGGATACTTCTGGAATCAGCTAGGATAACAAGTTCTGCTTCAATATCACATTCTGCAAAAAGAATCCAATTAATAAAACATGATATACTGCTTTAGTATGGCATCCAAAGAGCAATAGGAACCACATAAGACAGGTTAGAGAGAATATGAATTCCAATTTGCACAAGTCTGTTATTTTAAAAAAAAGAGGCCAGCCAGTGGATCACCTTAAGAATCTGTAAGTCTGGGAGGATGGAGCTGGCGTCGCGACGATATGGCATGCGATCTTGGAGATCTGAGATTGCAGCCAATATCTTTGAATGTAAAGAGCGCATCCTGTCATTCCCAGGGATATCGCAAAGTCCCTGGTAGATCCAGAGAAGCTCTTTTTGCCAGTGGCAAAGAGACAGCCATTAAAGCTGCTGAAGTTGGGACAGCTCCGAAATGAAAGAGAATGGAAAGAGAGAGTGTGCCAGTTTGGTGAGAACTTTTTCTTTATTTTAAGGACACCCCTAAGGGAAAGAAAGAATCTGTAAAAGTTTTGACAGAAGTGATTAAGCGGCGATTTTAAACAGGAATGTCAAAGTAATATTTTTTTCTCATTGCTGGATTTTCTGCACATGATCTTATATTTTGAAACTGGATTGGTTTTTTTTTTCCTTCTTTTTATATATTCTTCTCTCCTTTTTGATTTTATAATATTTTAAGCCAGAGACACCCTTTTAGTTATTTTCTAAATATATTGTTCTTTTTCTTTTAATTAGTTCTTATTATATTTTGCTTAGAAAAGGAGGGGGAAAGTGAAAGCTAAAGAAATTTTGTAACACTGCCAACTAGAGCCTTGGAAATATTATATTTTTCTTTTGACCAGACAAAGCTGAGAAAGAACTGAGACTTTGTTTCAAGGACATTGCCTGTTTGATAAGATAGAGGGAAGAGCATGAGAGAGTATTATTACAGGTGCTCTTCTGGGTTTCTATCAACAGCTGGAGTCTGGTGTTGAAGCTTAGGAAAAGAAAACGTGATAAGTCTTTGGAAAAGAGAGTTATAACAAGAGCCTTGGATAATCAAACAAAGTGCAGTGTGCTCTTTTTATTCTTTTTAAGCTGTGCTACCCCTCCTCATCAGTTTACTTTTTTTTTCGCAATAGCTATTTGGATTTTTGACTCTTTGGAACTTGTCTTTGTTTTTTTTTTGTTTTTTTGTCTTTGGAAGTTAAATTTTTATGTCTGCTTTTTATTTTAAAGGAAAAGCTTTAGTATTAATGCTTCCCTTCTTTTTCTTTTTAAGGGTATTAATGCTTCCCTTCTTTTTAATGCTTCCCTTCTTTCCCTTCTTTTTTGCTCCCTGGTATTTTTGTCTTTCCATCTACCTTCCATATTGGTTTTTTTGTTTTTCTTTTGTTTATTTTTATGCATACTTTTATATTTGAGACCTCTTAATTGGATTAAGGTATTGAAGAATCTGAGGAATTTTTCCTTTCTTTTTTAGCCTTTTTCTTCACTTTTTCACCTTTTTTGGGATTTTACAACTTTTTCCTTTTTGTGTGTGCCCATGGTGTATTTATGGTCTTTTCCTTCATTTTTGAATTTTTACTGTCATCTAACCAACCAATTGGATTAAGGTTTAGAAGAACCTGAAGATTTTGAACTCCTCAAAATGAGTTCTTCAACTTCCACTTCTTCCTCTCCACCATCTGGAGGACAACATTCAATACAGACAATATTAAGGCAAGAGAAAGAACAAGAAAAAGAAAAAGTGACCCTGCAGATGATTATGCAAGGAATTCAAAATATTCAAACAAGATCAGAGAATATTGAAAAGAGAATAGAGAACATTGAACAAAGAACAGAGAATATTGAACAAAGAACAGGGAAAACTGATGAAAAAGTGGAGAACATCCAACAAATGTTGATAAAGTGTTGTGGCTCCGGGCTTGGATTCAGCTCCTGTGATTGATATGAGTTCAAGTGAAGAGGTTATGGCAGAACAATATGAACCGGCCTGGCTTACTGATTGGACTGATAACCAGGATGAGGAGATGGACGTGACAAAGGACGACAGACCTGATGTATTAGAATTGTCAGGACCTTTGACCTCCTCTGGTTCCTTATCTGATCAACAGCCGGGAATGGCTGACAGTGAAGTTTTGAGAGAGTCTTCTAGTGGAGATGAGAACTTGGAAAATTTGTGGTTAAATGTAAAAAATAGAAGACGGTTGAAAAGGCAAAATCAGCTGGAGCGAATGAGAAGGGCAAGTCAGTAAATTAGCACGTTGCCTTAATGAGTATAAAAGGACACAGCTGGGCTGGTACATTTCGCCAGGAACAAAATAACTATTTGAGTGAAGACATTACAGCAAAGAGCTCTGAGGCTGAAGATTTATTGCCAGGACTGGTTTGCCAGACAGAGTAAAGATTTATGCTGTGGTTTCTGCCAGCCGTTATCTTGTAAGACTTCTTTCCATTTGATTTAATTGTGAAACAGCTGCTTTCTGTTTTGTTCGTTTGAATTTCGAAGGGGAGTCATAACAATAAAGTATGATGAGAGATACCAAAAAATTGAAGATAAACTGATGAACTGACTGACCTAGGTAAGATTTTGACAGGTACTGATGAAAAGGTGATTAAAAAATTGTATGGATATTTATTAGAAATTAAACTAGAAATAGAACAAATTAAAGAAACTATGATTGCTTGGGGGAAGAATTTTGGATATGGGATTGATCTTGAGAAATGGCAAAAATTGTGGTCTCAAAATTATAAAATGACAATGTCAACAGCATATAAAGAAAAATTATATAAGATGTTTTACAGGTGGCACTTTCTCCCGACAAGAATAGCAAGAATGTTCAAGAATAAATCCAAAAAATGTTGGAAATGTCATCAAGATACCTGGCTCATATTACCATATATGGTGGACTTGTGTGGATGCTAAAAAATACTGGACTAAAATCCACACGTGGTTGGAAAAAATGACAAAAAAGCATATAGATTTGAAACCAGAGATATTTTTATTGGGAATTTTACCTGAAATATATAGTAAAGACTTTAAATACCTGATTGTAAGTGGCTAGGATTGTATTTGCTAAAAACTGGAAAAATGAGAAAATACCATCACAGGAGGAAATCATTAAGAAAATATTGGAATGTGCTGAAATGAGTAGATTGACATTTGAAATTAGAGAACAAGATGATAAACAATTTTATAAAATTTGGGATCTATTCTATCAATGGTTAGACAATAAAATATAGTAATGAAATATGTAGACTTTTAGAAAATAATAAATATATAAAGATGTACTCTTTTCTAATTATATCTACAAAATGATTCTAGGATAGATCAGGGACGATGATACGAATTGTTCTAAAACAAATTAAGTAAAATATGATCATTTTGGAAAACATGAATGAATAAAAGTATAATTAAATGATTGATTAATAATGATATTAATGTATTTAATATATTGATTGAAAATACGAGATTATATACAATGTAATTATAACTGAAGACTATTAAATGGAAGCACAAAACAATTTGTAAACCAACCACACACTTTATGTACATATATGGAAGATGATTTGATGTTTTTATGTTTTGTTTGTTTATGTTTGTTTAAAAAAAACAATAAAAATTTAAAAGAGGAAGAATCTGTAAGCCTGCAGAATTTTGCTCATGCTGTGGCAGCTCCATTGCTTTTTCTTGGGTCTATCTAGCATATATCATTATGTTTTATAATCAGTATATAGTTGTCCCTCTTGTGTTTTATTTACTTGCAACTAAGTACATAGCTCATCTATCTGAATTAGGATTACATTTTTCATTGCCAAAGATTCATTTTTCCCCTTTTTTGAAAAGAAGGAAAAGTTTGCAAGCTTCCTGTTCTGATCTTTAAGGAAGTAAAATATAGATGAGATCAACATGTTGCATAGTAATATATGGCAATAGGATAAAGCAGATGTCAAACTGTTACATGTCTTCGACAATTATGGAAACATTTGAATTGTCTTCATCTCAATAGCCTTTAAGTTTAAGGCCCCATTGGTCAGCTATCAGCCATTTATTTTATGGATAAATATAGAAATCTAAGGTACTCTACATGCGGCTAGCATTGAATATGACATGGAAGTTACAATATATCCAGAATGTAGGGACACATGGAACGTTGGGTGTTCCTAGACTCACCTATAAGCTGCAATGGCTCTCATTTTTCTTCTGGGTACAAGTCAAAGTGCTAGTTATTATCTTTAAAGCCCTACATGGCATGGTTATCTTCAGGACTACCTCTCTCTGCCCAGTCCACCAGAGTGGATAGGATCCCTTCCCTTAAATACTGACATCTTGTGGGAACTTGGAAACATGCCTTTTCTACAGCAGGCCCTGCCCCATGGTACACCCTCCCCACCTGAGAGCCAAAAGGCACTAGCCCTCTATCTTTCCAGAGAACTCTTAAATCCTGGTTCTTTCTCTAGGCAATGGGATAAGGTGAGGCCAGGATAGAATGAAAATGTGGGTGCATTAGAGAAGTAAGGCTACAGTGCTAGATTTTTCTGTTTTTATATTTATTGTGTTGGTTTACATACTGTTTATATACTTTTATACTGTTTTATTGGTTGTAAGCCCCTCGATTGTTTTACGATGGACAGCTTTATAAGTGATTTAAATTAAATAAATCAATAAATACATTTTTGTATTTGTATGTAGATACAGATATAAATTATTGCATGATGGCAGTGCTTAACCTTTTGTCACAACATATGTAAGTAGTAGGCACTGGGCCAGATCCATTTGTCAGTAGCAGGATTTGGGATATCTTGCCTCAAAGGACTCTAACATTGAAATTGAAAATAGCATTTTGAATAAAAGCTTGGGGATTGACTAAACACATTGGAGTTGGCAAGCTTAAAATATCACATCATGCTTATCACAACACTTAGCCCAATATCTTTTGTGTATGTGTGTGTGTGCATGCATGCCTTTGAGTCAGTGTTGACACCTGGCAATTGCCTGGACAAATTCGTAGAGTTTCCTTAGCAAACTTTTCAGAAATGATTTATCATTACCTTTCTAGGACTGAGAAAAAATAACTAGCTCAGGGTCACCTAGATGGCTTTGTGCATAAGACAGGACCAAAATTCATAGTCTGGTGCCTTAAACATTATATCAAACTAGTTCCCTTACTTATTACTCCATATTGTATGTACACACCTTGAGTGGTTCATAATAATAATAAAGGGGGATATAAGCAAACAAATGAATACACTACTATTAGATTGTTATTCACTTACTCCTGGGGGGAAAGCATCACATATAGTAGGAAAAAATAGGCAATGTTACCTGGTCTTGAATTAATGCACAATTGATTTGACAGGTTTGTGGTTATGTTTTCCAGTCCCTCAAATGATGGCATGTAGAACCAGTAGTCTTTTGATCCAGCCATGATTTCAAGTTCCTCATGATTTGCGTCTTTTATTCCAATGGCATAAATAATAGTTCCTTTCTTTCTGAGTTCATTTGAAGTGCTATCCAGTATTGCCCTATCATGAGATTCTCCATCAGTTATGACCATAAGAACTTGAGGGACCCCTTGGTCTTTGCGGCTGCCATTTTCTTTAGTTAAAAGACTTGCTGAGAGCTGAAGAGCCTTTGCTGTGTATGTATGTCCTTTTAAAAGCATGTTGTCCTGAATAAATTTAATGATATCTGATTTTTTGCTATAGGTATTCAGCTTGAACATAATTTCTGGATTATTGGAATACTTTACTGCTCCAAACTGAACATGGTCTTTACCTACATCAGACTTATTTATAATGCCAATTATGAAGTTACTCATGAGAATGTAGTTGGTTTCACCAATACTGCTAGAACTATCAATTACAAAAACCAGATCTAAACGGTTTATCCTTTTGCACTCTGGAAAGAAACAAGAAAAGATAAAGGCATCATTTACAAAAAATTCATATTGTCATATATTTTTTCTCCTACATTCATCTTTCTTTACAACAAAAAGTGTATGAATTTTAATTAATGTTATATTTACTATAAATAGGTTACCTTGCTGATGTGCTATTGTTTCATTTATTTGAAAAAGAATCTTATTGTTTTATAACTAAAGTTATCATGCAGTTCTACATGCATTTTTACTGAAATGATTAAGATAAATATCATCTGAAATTTTCTCACTGATAGTATGGAGATTTGATTTGAAATAGCTTTGAAAAAGTTATGATTGGAATGAATGTGCACAATCTGTAGCAATATTTTATCATATTTTCAATTCCATTTTTTTTAGAAAATCAGTATCCAGACTAGATTTTTCTTTTTATCATATTTTCAATTCCATTTTTTTTAGAAAATCAGTATCCAGACTAGAAAAATCTGTTCTATTGTTATGTATTATCAATCAATCTTTTTGATACACTTTAAAAATTAAATGTTAAATTAACCGAGTTTCTATTTTCAATTATTTTATTATTAAGAATGGCATGAACATTTGTATCACAAGATCATTGGAAAGAAAACTCACTCAACTGTGAGCAGGTTTTGCTATTATGAGCACAAAGGGCATTACTAAGATTAAGTAATATGAGATTTTATACCACCTGCTACATTGTACCCTAACCCAACTCTTTTGCCTCATTATTGCTTTTTCCTAAGAAGACAAGACTAACAGATCTTTCCTGCCATATGAAAAAAACATACAGATATGCTCCCTGAAATATTAAGCAGGAATTTTTTTAATCCATTTTCAAATTATAATTTTCCAAAAGATTTGGAAGAATGGCTTCCAAATGGAATGGCTTCCTCAAGAATGGCTGATATCTGTACAATTAAAGATAAATACTTAAAATGGAACAATTACCAAACCAAGGGAGTTTGTTACTTTATGCCAGTATTGCCACAAAAATCTTTCCAAGCTAACATTACCTTACATTAGCCCAGGGATTACCTGGACCAACAGTCCCTTATGAAATGAGAGCTACAGCAGAGAGAGAAGCCAGGGGATTGAGGGGAAGCCATCTTTAGTCACCTAAGCTTTTTAGACTTTTCATCTTAAAAATGTACTGAAGCTTTTTTCAGCACTCCAACCAAGCAGCACTATTCTGTGGGAACTTGGAAGGACAGTGCCAGAAACCTCACAGCACCAGAAACCTCAGAAAACAGTGCCAAGAAACTCAAGCAAGCCCTTCCCTCTTTAGGAAAACCAAAAATCACCAGCCGAAAGAGAAAACTCAGAGCAGAGTTGACAATAGAAACAGTTAAGTGGAGCCATAATAAGGAGATTAAGGCTAAAAATAACTCCATTAACCCATTAAGGCAGGAAGACAGGATCCAGGGCAATCATTTTAACTAGAGGCACACAAACAAACCCATCAAGCTACAGGAGCTTCAAAGGGGAATTAATAATTAAGCCTAAAAGGCTCAAATTCTCATTTCCAAACTGCTTGCAAACCAAGACCCAGCTGTGTCACACAAGCTTTTTGCTTCTTCATTTTTGTTTCTGTCAACTTTTTGATTCTTTATTAAAGAATCCCACTACTGTGGTAAATGTTTAAGAGAGTGGGGATGGGGTCCACTGTCTAACAAAATGGGGATTGGGGACAAACACACACACAAAATCCCACTTATTCCAAAATATAAAAACTGTTGCAAAGCAAACTCAGAAAATTCCACAACACCATCAAGGTATGAAACCGAACACAGAAATCTTGTTCGTATGGAACAAGATTTCTGTGTTCGTTTTCATACCTTGTAGGCCTACATTCCTATTGGTCCGGAAAAGCTGGGCCATGATTGGACAGAACTAAGCGTTCTGATTGGTTCTTATTCAGCTGCCGCAATTGGGTAAAACCAAGCACGGCAAGCTCAAATGCATGTCATAGGCTGCCTAGCCACAGCCAGCTCTATAAAAGGAGCTGCCTCGGCTGGGAATCTTGTCTCAGTATCTGGTTTCCTAATAAAGAGCTGTTGTCACTATTTTGAGTCTCGTCTCTCCTTGGGACCCACCGCCCAGACTTAACACTGGCGATGAGGATGGGATACTGAGACAACAGAGCTGACTAGCTCATGGCAGAGAGCGCATAGACAACCTGCAAGATGGCCAGCAGCACCGTGCCACCCGCACCATTCAATCCGGCCAGCGAGGACTAGGAGTCCTACATTGATCGTTTCCAAATGTTCTTGGAATCAAACAACCTGAAGGATGCCACTGGCAGCAAGAAGCGAGCTGTTTTTCTAACACACTGAGGACCCGCCGTTTTTAAAATGGCCAAGGCGCTCACGAAGCCAACAAACGTCAAGACCATGGATTGGGATACCCTAGCTCCCATCCTCTCGAACCACTACGCCCTGGCGATGCCGATTCTCATCCGTCGGAATGACTTTTACAAAAGAGATGAGCGCGAGGGTGACAGTTGGAGAGTTTGTAGCCGACCTGAGGGACCTAGGAGGCTTGTGCGGATTCGCCAATCTAGACGAGGCCATGCGTGACCAAGTCGTCCTCAGCCTGAAAGACCCAACTCTCCAAAGCAGACAGATGGCTAAAGGAAACATCTCTCTCACCGACGCCGTAGCCGAAGCCACTGCAGCCGAGGCCACCCGTAAGTCAGCGGCGCGAATGCGGCATTCAAATGGAAATGACCACCAACCCACCAGTGAGACGGCAACCACAGCAGACAAACACGAAGCATCCACCCACCATGGCAACATCGAATCCCCCTCTGATAGCGAAGAGGAAGAAATTCACAGACTTCAGTCGGAACGCGAGCGACGAGACCGACACGGTCGTAAGTCGAGTTACCAATGTGCCGGCTGCGGAGGAAATCACCCGCATTCCGAATGCAAGTTCCTGGATGCTGTTTGCCGTTTTTGCGAAAAACGAGGGCATATTGCCAAAGTATGCCGTAACAAATGAAATTCCAGCCCCTGACGACGGGGAAACAGCCCAAGAAGAAGAGATGGCACCCCCACCATAAACCAGGACCGCCATAATGACAGCCGATGGAACCAGAACAGCCGACCCAGGAAGTTCGTCGAGGCACCCAGAAGAGAAGAAACGCACCAAACAGTCACCATCGGCCACGCTTCATCAATTGACGCACGAAAGATATATGTAGAGGTCAACATTGAGAATCACCCTTGCACCATGGAGGTAGACTCCAGTTCCTCCCTCTCTACGGTCTCCTGGAGGACCATCAAAAGACTAATTCCCAGCATCGACCGCCAAGAGCTTAGCAACCAGAAGCTAATATTAAGAGACTATCAAGGTAATCGCATTCCGGTCATTGGCATTGGACATTTTCAAGTCTCGTTCAGAAACCACACCACCATCCTACCACTCACAATCGTCGATAAAGACAGACCTAGCCCACTCGGGTTGCAGTGGTTCGCACCGTTGGGGATCGAGATGGCAGGCATCAACCACACAGAAGACGGAAACTGGGAAACAACACTCATCCAGGACTTCCAAGAAGTCTTCAGTGAACATCTAGGCAAGTACAAGGGGTCCCCTATCTCCTTTAATCTCAGCCCTGACATTGCTCCCATCCGTCTCAAGCCGCGGCAAGTGCCTTTTGCACTCAAGCCTAAAATAGACAAACAATTAGACAAACTAATAGTGCAAGGCATGTTAGAACCCATCGATCATGCCTGTTGGGAGACCCCAATTGTCACCCCATCAAACCCGATGGCTCCCTGAGAATTTGTGGTGACTACAAGGCCACCCTCAACCACGCATTGCAGCAGAGCGCCTAGTAGTCCAACATCTCCTGCACTCACTAGGGGGTGGCAAAGCTCGACCTGGCTCAAACTTATCAACAACTGCCAGTCGATGCTAACCGCCGAAGCCCAAACAATAGTGACACATAGAGGGGCATTCAAATGCAACTGGCTCCAGTTTGGGGTCAGCGTCGCACCGGGCATTTTTCAAAGTCTAATGGAGAGATTTTTGCAGAGAATTAAAGGAGTCGTGCCCTATTTCAACGACGTCCTGGTAGCAGCCCCTACCAAAAAACAATTGGAAAAATGACTGAGGGCGGTCCTACAGAAATTCAAAGACGCTTGCCTCAAGGTGAAAAAGGAAAAGTGCCAATTATGCACTGAAAGGGTTGAATTTCTTGGCTACCTCCTTGACAAACAAGGAATTCACCCCACAGATAAAAAATTGAAAGCCATAAAAAACACCCCCAGACCAAAGAACAAAACGGACCTCCAAGCCTTCCTCGGACTCATTAATTTCTTCAACATTTTTCTACCCCAGAAAGCAACTGTCACAGAACCTCTGCATAGTCTCCTTGATAAAAAGGCTTCCTGGATATGGGAACGGCGAGAAGAGCACGCTTTTCACCAGATAAAAAACCTTTTGACTTCAGACGCAGTCCTCATGCAATACAATGAAACGTTACCTCTGACTGTTACTTGCGACGCATCACCTTTCGGGGTTGGTGCCATCCTGAGCCACGTTTTACCAAATGGAATGGAAGCCCCCATTGCATTCTTTTCCAGAACATTGTCAAAGCCAGAGAGGAACTATAGCCAACTGGACAAAGAAGCCCTCAGCATCGTTCCAGAGGCCCTTGGTCGTGCATCCATATTGACTTCGCAGGGCCAACCAAGGGGCACACCTTCTTAATCACTGTTGACGCTTATTCAAATTGGCTCGAGGTGAGCACAATGAAGACAACCACCACAGAAGCTGTCATCAAGAAATTAAATAGACTTCGCAATGCATGGTCTGCCAGATGTTATCATTTCTGACAATGGGCCACAATTTACCACCTTAGCTTTTGAACAATACTTGGCAGACCACGGCATCTGACACGCATTGACATTGCCAGCTCACCCGGCGGCGAATGGTAGAGCTGGACGCATGGTTCAATTTACAAAAAAAAACTCTGCACAAAATGGAATATGGC